CACTTAGTAATTTTTTCTGCTTTTTAGTCATAAAATCCAAATTATAGCTCTATGACACCAGAATCATAAAATAAAACAGTGATAGCTTAAACCCAATAAGGTACACTGTCTTCCTTTTATTGCATAATGCAGATTCTAATATATACTTAAACTGATGCAAAACACACCACCTACGTGACTAGGTTTCTTTAGGTGATGTGAGAGGTTTAGAAGCATAAAACATGGGTTTTTCATTTCAAGTTCACTACAATTAATTCATTAATTCATTCATGAAGTACACACAATCCAGTGAGTTCTATGCACAGTTCTAACATATTCAAGAATACTTCCAAAAGTTTTTGGGGCTGCTATTGTGACACAGTGGGTTAAGCCAATGTTGGCATCCAATATTGAGTTCCAGCTGCTCAACTTCTGATCCAGCTCCTTGCTACTGTGCCTGGGAAGACAGCAGAAGGTGGTCCACGTACTCAGGCTCCTGCCACCCATGGGGGAGACCAGAATGGAATTCCTGGTTTCTGTCTTTCACTTGGCCCAGCCCCAGCTATTCAAGTCATTTAGGGAGTAAGCAAAGGGATGAGAGGTCTGTCTATCTCTGTCTCTCCCTTTCTCTGTCATTCTTTCATATAAATAAATAGATAAGCCATTAAAAATGACATATTGGGACTGGCATTTTGGCACAGAGGGTTGCAACATTGCACAGAGGGCTGCAACAACTGCTTGCAACATTCACATTCCATTTGAGCACTGGTTCAAGTTCTGGCTGCTCCACTTCCCATTTAGCTACCAGCTGGTATGCCTAGAAAATAGTGGAAAATGGTCTAAGTACTTGGATATCTGTCACCCACATGGGAGGCCCATATGGGATTCTGGGATCCTACTTTTGGCCTGGCCTACCCCTAGCCATCGTGGTCATTTGGGGAGTAAACCAGCAGATGGACAATGTCTCTCCATCTTTCTCTACCTCTTGCACTGTAACTCTTCCTTTCAAATAAATAATAAGCTAAATCTTAAAGAGATACATTTAGGGGGAAGAGTTAGGGAGGGAACAGAAGAAGAAACTCTACTGAAATTGGAGGAACACAGTGGACCTATGTGGAAGGTGAAAAGACACACAACTTGGGACCCCACCAGCCAAGAGCCTCCACACCAGCATTACAGAGCAAGGTGAGACCAGACTGCAGTAGCACAAGCCATTGGTGAAAAAGATGCAGGAAGAGCCTAGAGGGAATCTGGCTTGGATTCCTGTTGGGGATGGTGTACCTGCCAAACTAGAGCAGAAAAAATAAAACAAGGAGGGGGGCATGTTTTTTCTCTCCCTGCTCATTCTGCAAAGGCATCCTGTAATAAGTTGACAGGGAGCAGGCACTATTTTGGATATATACAAGAGCTGCACCAGCTCATGTCCACACCTAGCAATCAGGAAAGCGGAGACTCCTGAGTCTGGTGGGGAGAATAGACAGGGGTGCCAGGACTGTGAAAACACTGAGGCTGTGTGGGAAGAATCAGCATGTGGCTTGGACTTTGGGCAGTCATTATGAAATTCTCCACACCATCAGGGCTTCGTGATTACATGTTGGAAGAGACACTGCTGTGGAATCTGAACTTATACTGAGGACTGCACAGATCCTTTGTGTGGTCCTTGTGGTAGAGTGGATGAATAATATACTCATTGGGGCTCGCACCTAGGCACTGGTCTCCTTTGAGGAGAGATCAGCTGAGTCTAAACCAACAGACAAGAAGAAACTACCCTCTGCTAAAAAAAATAAATAAAAGGAGATTTACCACTCTAACCACGGTATATCACCTCAGACGTGTCCTTCACACTGGAGCACTGAACAGAACTCCCTGGACACTCCAACCACAAGCCCCTTGGTATTCCCTCAAAGCAGACACTCCACTAATCCAATCAGACATAGTCCAAAGATAAAAGCTACTACAGCAAAAAATAAAAGAAGAAACCAATGAGTAACCCACAAATGCAGAATAACAAATGCACCAATCCAAGAAATAAGAACAAGGAAGAAAACGTGACACCTCCAAAAGAACATAATACCTCAATACTAGATTGTGAAGATGATGAGACTGAAGAAATGTCAGAAATGGAATTCAAAAAATTGATCATAGGATTACTTAGAAGTAATCTGAAGCAAATGCATAAACTAATGAATTCTACCCCCTATGAAATTGAGATCTTAGAGAGAAATTGGCTGGCGCCGGTGGCTCACTTGGCTAATCCTTCGTCTGCAGCGCTGGCACCCAGGGTTCTAGTCCTGGTCTGGGTGCTGGATTCTGTCCCAGTTGTTCCTCTTCCATTGGAGCTCTCTGCTGTGGCCCAGGAAGGCAGTGGAGGATGGCCCAAGTGCTTGGACCCTGTACCCACATGGGAGACCAGGAGAAGCACCTGGCTCCTGGCTTTGGATTGGCACAGCACACTGGCCATAGCAGTCACTTGGGGGGTGAACCAATGAAAAAAAGGAAGACCTTTCTTTCTGTCTCTCTCTCTCACTGTCCAAAAAAAAAAAAAAAAAAAAAGAGAGAGAGAGAAATATTAAAATGAAATCTTGGAAATTAAGAATTAAATAGAACAAATAAAAAATGCAGTGGGAAGCCTTAACAACAGAATTGGTGAAGCAGAAGAAAGAATATACAATTTAGAAGAAAAAGCACAGGAAATTACACAGCCAGACCAAACACAAGAAGAAGAAATTAGAAAACTAAAAAACACTGTTGGGAATCTACAGGACACTATCAAGTGACCCAACATAGGGGTTCTTGTAAGATACTGGCACAAAGAGTTCTTGGAAATACCCCAAAGTCACAGGCAATCAAAGTCAAAATCAACAAATGGGATGAAATCTAATTGAGACGCTTCTGTACTGCCAAAGAAGCACTCAACAAAGTGTAGAGGCAACAGACAGAATGCGAGACTTTATTTGAAAACATTGCAACTAATAAAGAATTAATAACCAGAATTTATAAAGAGATCAAGAAACTACAACAACAAAACAAACAACCCAGTTAAGAAATGGGCCAAGGACTTAAGCAGACATTTTTCAAAAGAGGAAATCCAAATGGCCAACAAACATATGAGAAAATGCTCAGGATCACTAGCCATCAGGTAAATGCAAATCAAAACCACAATGAGGTGTTACCTTACCCCAGTTAGAATGGCTTCCATACAGAAATCAACAAACAACAGATGCTGTTGAGGATGTGGGGAAAAAGGTACCCTAATACACTGTTGGTGGGAATGTAAATTGGTAAAACCACTATGAAAGTAAGTTTGGAGATACCTCTTTAATCTGAATATAGACCTACCATATGACCCAGCCATCCCACTCCCCGAAATTTACCCAAGGTAAATTACATCAGCAAATAAAAAAGTTATCTGCAGTCCCAAGTCTATTGCAGTTCAATTCATAGTAACTAAGGCATGGAATCAACATAAAAGACTGTCAACTGAAGACTGAATAAAGAATTTATGGGATAGGTATACTATGGAATATTACACAGCTGCAAAAAATGGAATCCGATCATTTGCAACAAAAAGGATTAATCTGGAAAACATCATATTTAGTGAAATAAGCCATTCTCAAAGGGACAAATATCATATGTTCTCCCTGACCTGTGATAACTAATAGAGCACCTAAAAGAAAATCTGTAGAAGGAAAATTGACACTTTGAGAAGTAGTGACTTGAACAGCCCTTGTCTTGACTGAAAAGGAACAGTCTTTTTTTTTTTTCCTTAATGGAGAATTGGACGGGGAATAGGAGAGGGAGGAGCTGGGGTGGGAGCGGGGGCGGGAGGGTAGGTATGATGGGAAGAAGCACTATATTCCTAAAGTTGTACTTATGAAATTTGTGCTCATTAAATAAATGGTTTCTTTGGAAAAAAATATATTTTGGTGCAAAAATTTTTGAAATGTATACATAGTTTTGGGGCTGGTGCTGTGGCATAGTGGGTAAAAGCTGCTGCCTGCAGTGTTGGCATCCCTATGGGTGCCAATTCACGTCCCAGTTGCTCCACTTCTGATCCAGCTCTCTGCTATGACCTGGGAAAGCAGAAGATGGCCTAGCCCTTGGGCACCTTCACCAGGGTGGGAGACCTGGAAGAAGCTCCTGGCTCCTAGCTTCGGATCTGCGCAGCTCTGGCCCTTGCAGCCACCTGTGGAGTGAACTAGAGGATGGAAGACTTCTCTCTCTCTCTCTCTCTCTCTCTCTCTCTCTGCCTCTGCCTCTGCCTCTCTTAAACTCTGCCTCTCAAATAAATAAGTAAATCTTTAAAAAATATATGCCTAGTTTTTTTTCATACAAATTTCCACGAACTTTTTGAAGACCCTTCATATGCATGGATTTCAAAAGTTTTTGCCACAAAATCTTTTTTTAAAAACATACATTTGTACACTAAAATATCAGGAGGTAAGGGAAGCACAGAAGGCAGGAAGACTGTTGGGTTAGAGGGTTTGGATAGGTTTCCCCAAGAGCTGGTATTTGAACTGAAGTTTGAAGAAGAGACTGCTATAAGATGGGGGTGAGGGGAATCCATAGGATCATTTTAAGGAGAAGAGTTAGCTTACATGAAGGCAGAATTGTGAAGCATAAGGAAACTTGGTTGGAGGCGCAAGTTTAACTTTTTGCTGGTGTAATCACTAAGTAAATAATTCAAAATAACAATAACTTAAAAAGAATTTGTTAAAAGAGGTAATTTCTTAAATTGAATAAATGTAAATTCATGATAAATCATGTCTTGTTTTTTCTCCATTAATTTGGCCTAGCTTAGCCTTTAGGAATAAGAAGAATAGAAAGATAAAGAAGCAGCCTTACAAAGAAGCTAAAAAGCAAATCTTGAAAAAATATATTTTTGCTTGTCTGTAAAATTTCAGTTCAACCACTCTTTCAGTTACCAATATTCGAAATTAAAAAGAGTCGGTATAGTGGTATGAATTACACTAAAGCATGGAAAATGTCACTGAAGGTAGCAAATAGATTGGAATTCTTACTTGTCCCCAGGCCTGGATGAACTCTTTGCAGACTCTCGGATGCTCTGCCAAGGGTAGCTGGTGTGGCTGGAACAGATAGAGAAGAAAACCATTAGTCACCTCTAAAAGTGATCTATTGTGACCCTGTTTTAGGCAACACTTTCAAATTATAATACATGACCTGTACCCACACAATACCACTTACAATTTGCAATTGCGTCTACCCACTAAAAAAAAATCATGATAATGAGAGCACGCTTCACCTCTGGTCCCATGCCTGGACTTGGTGGAGAAAAATGACAAAAATATTTTCCTCTATTGTTTGAGTCCAAACTTGAATCTTCCTATGAAAATGAGGAACATAAATTCTTTTAAAAAACTTTTATTCATTTATTTTCATCTTCTTATTTGAAGGTAAACACACACACACACACACACACACACAACAGAAACAGATCATCTATCCGCTGGCTCACTCTTCAAATATCCACAACAGCCAGGAATGGACGAGGTTAAATTCAGGAGTCCAGAACTCATGTGGATGGTAGGGACCCCAGTACCTGAGCCATAATTTGCTGCCCCCCAGGAGAGTATTAGCAAGAAGCTGTACGGGAAGCAAAGGAGCAGGCCTCAAATCAGGCTCTCTAATATGGCATGGGGCATCCCAAATGGAAACAAAAGCTGCTCACCCAAATGCCTGCACCATGAATTATTTATATATCAGCATGTTCAGTCAAAAAGTTTATTAAAAAAATGAAAGAAAAGAATGTCCATGGGTCAGTTTTGCTTCAAATACAGTGTTTTGAAAAAGTTTGTTTTAAATATTTGTCAAACAAATTGGTAAGAATTATATACTACTGTAGTTTTAATGATTTGTCACTATTTTAAAATTTACTTTATATGAGTGAAGCTGAACATTTTTTCATCAGATTACTGTTTATAGCCCATGCCTATTTTCCTGCTTGATGATGATCTTTTCACTTTTTATATGTTGTACTGTTTATTTAGTAGAGCCATTAAGTTTTTAACTATAAAATAATTTTAAAAATATGTTATCTCAAAAAATTAAATAAAACACCAACTTGAAATGAAGGAAAAAAAATTTAATTTGGAAATAAACATGTGAGCAATCCTGGGAGCGAGTAAAGAATGAGGGGAAGTGGAAAGTTGGACAAGATATAAAGTGAAAAACTTGAAAAGGTAGAATTTGATTGATACTAGCAACATCTTGCATCAAAAACAGAAAAAAAGGCAAGTAATCAAAATAGTTGCCATTCTACTTTTAACTATTATACTGGGTTGCTTTGTAAGGATTTCAGCCAGAAGAGTGTGCAACTGTTGTCTGGCCTGTGGAGATAAATGTTTTCTCCAGGATCCCTCTTCCTCTATCAGATCCTGCTACCACTAGCTTACTCTTAGAGGGGCAATGCAACACAGGTCTACAACAAACACTGCGATTTACCTCAAAGGCAGTGAAGCTACTTATGATTTACATATTTGGTTTTCATTCCTATTTCCTGACCTATGTCTTTTCTTTTCAACTTTCATTTAATAAATTATTTAAATATTTTATAATTATTTATATATTTAAATAAATTTTTAAAATATTTAAAATGTTTAAAATTTAAATAATAAATTATTTAATAAATATAAATTTCCAAAGTACAACTTTTGGATTATAGCAGCTTTTCCCCCCATAACCTCCCTCCCACCTGCAACCATCTCATCTCCTACACCCTCTCCTATCTCATTCTTAATCAAGATTCATTTTTAATTATCTTTACATACATAAGATCAGTTTAGTATATACTAAATGAAGATTCCAACAGTTTGCAGCCATGCAGATACACAAAGTATAAAGTACTGTTTGAGTAGTAGTTTTACCAATAATTCTCATAGTGCAACACATTAAGGACAGAGTAGGGGAGTAGGTGCACAGTGACTCCTATTGTTGATTTAACAATTGACACTCTCATTTATGACGTCAGTAATCACCTGAGGCTCTTGTCATGAGCTGCCAAGGCTATGGAAGCCTCTTGAGTTCACCAACTCTGATCTTATTTAGACAAGGCCATAGTCAAAGTGGAAGTTCTCTCCTCCCTTCAGAGAAAGGTACTTCCTTCTCTGATGGCCTGTTCTTTCCACTGGGATCTCACTCACAGAGATCTTTCATTTAGGTCATTTTTTTTTTTCCCACCACAATGTCTTGGCTTTCCTGGCCTATGAAACTCTCATGAGCTTATTAGCCGGATCCAAATGCCTTAAGGGCTGATTCTGAGGCCAGATTGCTGTTTAGGACATCTGCCATTCTATGAATTTGCTGTGTATACCGCTTTCCATGTTGGATCGTTCTCTCCTTTTTAATTCTATCAGTTATTATTAACAGACACTAGTCTTGTTTATGTGATCCCTTTGACACTGAATCCTATCATTATGATCAACTATAAACTTAAACTGATCACTTTGACTAGTAAGATGGTCTTGGTATATGCCACTTTGATGGGATTGAATTGGAATCCCCTGGCGCATTTATTAGTCTGCCATTAGGGGTAAGTCCAAGTGAGCATGTGCCAAACTGTACATCTATATCTTTTCCTATATTAATGAACTGACTGATGGCTGGGGGCTGCTCTAAGTAATGACCAAGGCATGACTGGGGGTTGGGGGTTTTCAGCCCCACCCCATAACCTCAGGGAGGGGTGAGAGGCTGAAGGCTAATTTAATTATCAATGGTCACTGATTAGATCATGAATATCTGCATACTTAAGCATCCATAGAAACACAGGGTCAGAAAGCTTCCAGAAAGCTGAAGACACAGAGATTCAGGAACAGTGTAGGAACTGGTGCACGGAAGCCCATACCTTCTCCCATATCTCACCCAATCTGTCCCTTTGCTTTTATTCTTTGTAATATCCTTTATAATAAGCCAGCAAATGTACATGTTTCTTTGGGTTCTCTGAGTTAGCAGAGCAAATTAATCAAACATATGGAGGGGGTCATGGGAATCCCAATTTATAGAGAAGTGGTGATTGGTGTCTAAAGTGGGGGGCACTCTTGTGGGTTGAGTCCTCAATTTGTGAGATTTGACACATATCCAGATAGATAGCATCAGAACTAAATAAAACTAGAGGATATCTAGCTGGTTTCTTTTCCACCAGAGAACTGGTTGCTGGTGAGAGAAATCCCCACACACAATTTGGTGACCAGAAGTCACAGTGGTATTCTTGTTGCAGGAGAAACTGAGTTTGTTTTTCTTTGTCTTCTGAGACTACTGATACTTTCATTTTAGTCTTTAATAAAATCCCATGGTTAACAATGATAAAAAAAAATCTGTCTGTGGTACAAGACAAGGAAGAGGAGGAAAATGAAGATTACACAGGTATTGTATTGAGTCTTTTTCATCTTGCTGAATTTGAGCTGGGTCAGTCCAGGACACCCGTCCATGTGCCACTTCTCAATGAATGTTTTCATTAGCTCCACACAGTTAGATAACCAGCAGGAAGTAGTCGTTGGGCCTGTTGTTTGCAATAGAAAACCCAACAGGGGCCAACATTAAGGTAAATCATATTAAGCTACTGCCTACAATGATGACATACCACATCAAGATTCTGCTTTGAGTCCCTGCTGCTCTGCTTCCAATCCAGATCCCGATAATGTATGTGAGAAGGCAGCAGAGGATGGCCCAATTACTTGGGACCCCTGAAACCAATGTGGGAGTCCAGGATCAAGTTCCTGCCTCTTGGCTTCAGCCTGACCCAAACCTGGCTATTGTGACAATTAAGGGGAGTAAACCAGCAGATGGAAGACCTCTTACTCTGTCTCTGCCTCGCTCTCTGTAGCACTGCCTTTCAAATAAATAAATAAATATTTAAAAAAAGAGAAAACCTAATAGAGGAGAAAAAACTGACAGTGCTAAACCGGTAGGGTTTTATACTCTAGGCATGTTACTCAAAGTGTTTTTGAAGTAAAGCCAGGCTTTGGTGAATCAGTGATTTTTTAAAAAAGATTTAGGTATTTATTTGAAAGGAAGAATTACAGAGAGAGGAGGAGACAATGTGAGGGGGAGAGAGAGAGAGAGAGAGAGAGAAAGAGAGAGAGAGATTGATTTTCTTTCTGCAGATTCATTCCCCAAATGGGCACAATCGGGAATGGAACTGGTGCTCATATGGGATGCCTGTGTTGCACATGGTGGCTTAACTCACTGCACAACACCACCTGTCCAAGTGAATCAGTATTTTAAACAGGCATACATTATTTTAAATAGTTGTGATTATCAATTTTGAAAATATTTATTTTTATTCCCTCTTTAAATTCTGTTATTATTCATCTATAGATACTTATTTACTCTCAAATGCAATAAAGAATTATGACAAAAGCAAACAGTACACATTTTTTTCTAGAGTAATATATTACATGTTGATTTTTATGGTGACCAGAGAGCAAAATTGCATTTTGTGATAATCTCTTCAGGTCTGCTTGCCACCTCCATACACAGTTTTTATCAGTGCCCACAACCATCACCAATTCCTTGAACACTATTTCATTATTTCTTGCCCTAAGCCAAGCAATAAAGCATCACCTTTGGTCAAGGTTCAGAGATTTTTATACAATTTCCAACTGTGAATGTCTTCTTTCATTTGTAACAACTAAGTTCTGATAGCTCAAAGGAAGAAGAAAATTAAGTTAATCCAAAATAATACATAGCGAATGGAAGGAACTTGTGGAGGTGATGGACAGGTTTATGGAACAGATTGTGCCGATGATTTCACAGATGTCTACTCATCTACAGGCTCATGCGGTTGTACACACTAAACATATACAACTTTTTGTATGCCAGTCATTCCTCAATTAAGTGGTTCAAAAGTAAGTTAATCATGGGCTGGTACACAAACACACATATTATTTTGGCCAAAATGATCTATCAAGTGTGTCTCAATTTTAAGTTGAATCTGAGAAAACTAATGGACTTAGCATTCAGGTCTCAGGTCAGCAGTAAAATTAATGAGCTTTTCCAGAACGATGACTGAAATGGAATGTGGGGGGGGGGGGGTCAGACACTCAAGGAGAGTACAGAGCCAAACCTCAGG